GGGGGGGGGGGGGTGAATAGGATTTCGGATTCCGCCAAAAAAAATTGTTCGGATTTTGGATTTGGTGAATATTTTACACAGATTTGCGGATCTTATTAATACAGCGGATTGCGGATTTATCTAATATTTTGGCTCAGATTGTGGATTTTGCTTGCAATTTAGTTTGGATCCTGGATTGTGACTTCATAGTAGAGCTTTTAGCGGATCCAAATTTAGACAAGACCATTGCCGGATGGCGGATGTTGCTTCAAATTTGGGCGGATCGACGGATTTGTATACCCCTATTCAGCCCCCCCCCCCGCCCTGCATTTCTCACAACTGCTCTTGGTCACTGGTCTAATAAATGTGTATATAAATTATACTAGATACCTGCCCTTTCTTGATTCATTGAAGCAACATCCACCCAGGTATTTCTGTATGGATCATATTTCTCAACTGAAGATAGTGAACATCCACCATTGTTTCCACCAACAGCATACAGAAAGCCATCAAAACCAACGGCTGCAACACCACCTCTCTGTACTTTCATGGGTGCCACCTCTGTCCATTCATCTGCTTTGGGATCATACCTAGCACAAAGATAAAAACTCTAAATATAATCCAACCTGCTAACTGAAGAGGAGTAAGCTAGATTTTTCCAAGGCCAACACAGACAATAGCAAAAAGTATCAACAATATTATTCACAGTCTATGCTTTGTAGTACATCCAATTTTTCATCCAACCAATCTTGGACAACTATTGACCACAAGAAAAATCTAGTTTAACCCATTAAGTTGCAGTGCTTTCCCAGTGACAAGTAAAATCGTCTGGCATTAGACAGAGTACAATAATCAAGTGGGATGTGCATTGGCTGCACTGAAAGAAAAGTTGTTATATATTATCTTTACCTTATAACAAGATAAATTAATTACATTATACAATGAACTGCAACTAGTAAGAACAAATAAGTCTTGAACATTAAAATTAAACAAACCTTTCAACACGGTTAAAACATGTTGCTTCATCAAGACCTCCAATAGCATACAGCATACCATTCAAGATACCAACAGACATTCCACGGCGACATATTACCATGGATTTGCATAGCTGCCATGAACCACTTGTAGAATCAAAACTTTCAACTGTATTCAAGTGCTCACTTCCATTATGACCACCAACAGCATAGATTACCCCATCAATCTCAGCAGCTGCAACATGTCGTCTCGGCATCAGTAGTCGAGGTCCAGGTGTCCAGCAGTTTTCAAGCCAGTTATAAATCTCAATCTTGCTAAATGGATCACCACCCTTACCTCGACCACCAATGGAAAATAACATACCAGAATAAGACTTTCTTGGAAATATTCGAGCTGATAATGGAACCTTCTCAGGACAAAGGTGGAAATTCTTTGCTTCATCAATGAGATCTCTGCACACCAAATTCTTGGAAACAAACGATTCTTTTTCCACCATTGATATCAGATATGAAACTGGCAACATTGGCAGACGGACATAAGGCATTAGTAGACCAATATGGTGCTGGCGTTTCGCGCTAGAATGACGTATCCATTTGATGACACTTTCAAAGACATCTTCCTCTTTAGGAACATTTAAATTCGATCCTGATAATAGTTGCTTCAAATGGTCAACACTTATATCAAGAAATTCTTGAGATTTTGTCACTTCTAAATAATGTAACTTGATAAATGCATCCACTTTCCGAACCAATTTTACGCAACCGTGGGCCTCCACAAAATCTCTAACACTGAGACAGTTTGAAATGCTGAGATGACTGTAGATAAAGTCGCAACAAGCATTGACTATGGAGTCGAGTTGTAGGATATTGGCACACTGAAGTAAGCTTTGTACATTATCAACATGAATCAATACTCGATGGGAATATATAAATCGAATTAATAAGAGAAAAATGTCTTCTTCAACGTCTTTAATGGTGATAACATCTTGGTCTGATTCTGACATTTTATTTGTAAACATTGCCTTAAAGTACGGGCTAACAGACGCCAGTACTATGCGATGAGCATGGATCTTTCTCTCGCCCACAATAAGAGTTACATCACAAAGTTCTCCAGAAGAAAAACATTCTTCCATTTTCTCAAAAGCAGTTGTACATGTGTCTGAAGCAAAGAATTCATAACTGTCTTGTGTACAATTCTCCGCCATATTTATATTGTTTCGGTTTCGGTCAAATAAATGCAATAAAATACAGACAGTCCTATATACGCGGGCAGGAAATGAGATAATTGCGGGCGGGATAATTATTAAAGGGGAAGTCAAGTCCGTTCTGCGCATCGGTTCTGCGCATCGGTTCTGCGCATAACAATAGAGGGCCCTCTGAGGTAAACATTGCCCAAATTTTGAATGTTTCGAATTTTTCTGAACACAAACTCTATTTCATATTCATGTAGAAGCATAACGAACCAAAATGGTGTTAGATATTCAGACAGTACATCATATTTTAAAAAATACAGCAGTTCAAAATGTAAACAAACCGTTTGTTTACATTACGGACTTGACTTCCGCTTTAACAAGAATGCAGGAATTCAAAGTATTCCAAAGTTCTATATACTTCTATTCTTATAGCTGAACCCTCTCCCTTTCCATTGTCTCTCCAAGTGCCTCCCACCTAGCGTCCTAGCCTCCTCCGAATATAATGGTTTTGAAAAAAACAATTTCCACCTGCGAATGGGTTTTGAAAAAACAATTTAACCTCGGCCGGAAAACACAGAGCAAGACTTGGACTCACTTGGACTGTGTCTCAGGCGCGGCGGGACAGGGGGGTGGGGGGTTATAGCCCTCCAGGAGTAAAAGTGGGGTATCTAAAAAAGATCAGAAAAAGACAGATGTCGCGGTCGTTGTGAGCGCAAAAGGACCACGTTATTTCAAATTCTACCTTGACGTGCAGATTCCCTAGTCTGCGAACCCAGACGTCTGCGAACCCTACGCTCATTCTTCGCTCGGAATGAGCGTGGGAAAGATGTCTGAGTTGAATGGGTTTGCAAACTTCCATGCACAATCCATTCTCGTACCCAGAGCCCTTCTTACGCGCGTTCGACCGAGCACGACGAGGGGCTCTGGCCAAATCCATATCAAACTGGCTTCTGATTGGTCACAACGAAATATATGGTTTATTATAGTAAATATGAATAAAAATACACAAGCGCTCCACGAAGCGTTGGTTTCCCTTTGAAAATTGGGAGAAAAGACATTATTAAAGTTGAAAGAACAGCAGTACGAAGCAGTTAGGAAGATTGTTGTTGATAATCGCCCACAAAAGCAGTAGATGTCGCTAATTTTATTTATTTAACTGATCAATTAGTTGATTGAAATTAATAGATTGAGACGTGATGTTCTCGTAGCAAAAAGTCAGCATATTTATGGGAGATGCTCGTCGTATTTCCAAATCAGTGATGTTAATCAAACAAATCTGTGTTACATGTTCAAAGTTGAAGTGCCATCTGAAGAGAAAATATTAAAGCCAGCCAGAATATGAAGTTAATTGTGATGACTATTTTCTTCCTAGAAACCGATTTTTTACAATTTTCAAATGATTTGCAGTATAGTATGTCTTATGTATGACTGTTGACTTTTAATAAAACACAAAAAAGTCTAAAAATCTGTACAACAGCGACTTAAAATCGAATATAAAATAGTGAGACAATCTCTCGTCTTCGTATCCGTAGCCATTACTGCTTTGGCAACGTTTAAGAGGGAAATATATACTAAATTTTTATCAACATGCATTGGGAACATCACGTCTTACCTACTAATTGATTTAAATAAATAAAATTAGCGAAACCTACCGCTTTTGTGGGGTTTTCCTGGAGAAAAACTTTCAAAACGAAACAAACCAGCCGGTACGACCATATCCACATGACTATATAGTCGGTAAAGTATGCGAGTAAATGGCGACTGTCAGTCGCGCATCATGTACACTTCCAATCCAAACGCTAATCCTAACCCAAACCCTAACCCTAATCCTAACCCCTAACCCTAACCCCACCTGCTAACCCCGCAACCTAACCGCACACCCTAACCCCGGCCAGCTACCCCTCCGGGGAACTAACCTCCCACCTCTCCTCCATCAAACAAGCAAGGACAGTTACACTTATAACTAAAACTTTTGTGCAGTGGTTACGGTTAATTACTAGCAGGCTCAGCCATACGACGGTGCACATTTTCTTCGACTATCAGTCGCCACTTTTCCGCATACTTTAGCGACTATCTAGTCCGCATAAAATGGTCGTACCGGGTGAACAAACAGAAAGCCGAAGTGTTTATCCGCGTTTGACGTTGAGCATGCGCAGTGTTTAACCGGATACCATGTTTTTATGGTATCCGGTTATGGATTTGGCCAGAGCCCCTCGTCGTGCTCGGTCGAACGCGCGTAAGAAGGGCTCTGGGTACGAGAATGTGCACAATCATGCTCCAAACTGGGAACTAACTGTTCTACCCGGGGGCGGGGTGGATTAGTATCATCAGTAAGCAAAAGACCCTGGATACGAGGATGATCAGTAAGTTGGGACCGGGCTTTTGCGACTTTGCGTAGAAGGTATCCCATTGGCATTGTGACATTGAAACTAGACTAGCCCCTAGTCCTCTGTGCACGTCTTTTATTTTCCAGTGAGCCGCCTACCTCGTAGCCTGGGATAATCAGAACGTGAGTTGATTGGTCATGCGAATACAATGAAGAGTCAGTGTAAATAATTTAGCAATTACTGCTGCTAAATGTACAAACATTATTGTTATCTGTTATTTACCATAAAGAAACTGTTTGATTACCTGGATAAGGGTTAGATTAAGATTAAGATTAAGATTATATTAGGGTTAGGGGTTGGAGTTTGGGTTAGATTGAGGTTAGGTTCTTCTATTTCAATCTATATCCCAATAAGTTATTGCTCGGATTTATTGTATTGAGAATTTCGGACGTGTTTAACAATTTACTCACATAGTTACTCAAAGGTCGAGCTAGCATGCTAACATTTTGGAAAGGATTCTTGCCCTCGAAAACAATAGTCAATAGACCTTATTCATAAATCGTGACGAGGCCTCGTATCCTAGGATACGGGGAAAAAACGCGGGAAAACAAGCGAAAACTGCTTGACAAGCCAAATTCAGATGCTATATATCGACTTCAACGGCTTGTTTCTTGTTGCTTTTTGCGATTTATAACGATTTTTGTGTGTATTTTAAGACTTTGTGCCCACAACGAAAGCGGGAAACGAGTATATTATAAAAGCGACCGGTTTTTCTCCCGTTTTTTTTGTGGAAAAAATGACAAAGTAGCGACAGTGTTTATCCAGAAGCGAAAAACAGCATTTTACTGAGATTTTAACGTCAATATAAAGGTTTATATTCCGTGAAAAATCAAGACAACTATGGAATGAAAGTATAATTTTTCGAATTTGACATTAAAATGAAAGAAAACAACAGGTCAAAAATCACAAGAGAACGTCAAATGTCATTGATTCGTACGGGAAAATATGAACTATGGCTGTGGCTCGATAACATTCTGCAAGCAGCTTACAAGTTTAAAAAATGAAGGCTACATTACCTGAGTGAGTTGTAATCTTATTTCTTCAACAATAGTTTCATATTTCTTACGATTTTGGTATTGTATAGACGTTTTGTAGCCTTGTTGGTTGTTTGTTTTGGCCATACAAACTACGACAATGATACAAACTAGTGAAAGTCAAAGGTTTCCTTTTTCGATTGACTCCAGCATCTTTTGCTTTAAATATCATGTTATATTTTCTCAGAAGTATTTTTTTCAACTTTCAAACTCAGTTTTATAGATATTATTTTCGAAAAAAGCCGTAATATTGACGATAAAAAGCTGCCATAGCCGACAGCAAAAAAACATTTTGTCAATTTTCCCGCGTTTTTCCCCGTTTCCTACACTGGTTTCCTAGGATACGAGGCCTCGATCACGATTTATGAATAAGGTCTATACCATGTTTAACCACAGGTTAACTCTTGTTATTAATCTGAAACAAAAATTCCTGTCATTTGGAGAACATGTATGAAGAAAGGCATTTGAAGTCTTGTTGAAAAATTTTACTTTTGCTGGGTAAAATTAAAAAAATATTCATGTGCTGAGAAATAATTAGCCTGGTTGGTAGGCTCATGAGACTGGGAGAACTGCCACACAGGTTAGGAAATATCTAAACTTGACGAACTTTGTTTTAAAAATTGGGCCCTCCTTGGAAAAATAGTACAAGCCTGTGCATTATATTTTCATTTCTTCTGATGTTATTTTAAATGTTCTGGATTCGTCTGTAATTAAGTAGGATTATTGTGTTAACTGGTTATTTCAATCACCAAAACACATTAAAATAGGCCCCACAATGGCACTTTACCGAATCTAGAATTTAAATATTTTCCTTAAAAACCCTAAAAAAGACTTTAAAAAATGACTGCATCCTTTCACTGCATGCGGAGAGACTCCAACCTTGAAATTTGAGCACCTAAGATCTTGGACTAGAAAGAGCAGAGGGTTCTGTTTCAGAATCTTGGGGAAACGTAAGGCAATCAATAATCAGTGAAAGGAATCCTATATAACGTAGTTTACTCATTCATCACCGAACTATATTAGCACTATATTTCGTCTCTACGCGAAAAAATATTTCGAGAATAGTATGATTTTCCTCCCTTATAAACAAAAATACAAAATTAACCTTACAGTTACAGTTAGGCTACAGTTACAGTTACAGTTACAGTTACAGTTACAGTTACAGTTACAGTCACAGTCACAGTTACAGTCACAGTTACAGTTACAGTTACAGTTACAGTTACAGTTACAGTTACAGTTACAGTGCGATATTATATCGGCGAAATTAAAACTGTCACTTTAAGTAAATCCAGTGGGTTGCCTGCAAATTTCGTTGTCGTAATTACGGCATTTAATTACAAAACGTTTTATGTTTAACAAATGAATTATTAAGAAAGAACAATTATTGATTCAGTTGGTCAGCTGCAGCAAAATAGAAACGTTATTTTTATTGTCAAAGAATACAGCACGTACAAATTATTGGCATGACATCATTTGCCACGAAGTGCCACTGAGCAGATTAAGTAAATTTATTAGAATTAAACTTCGAAGAAATTATTTAAGCACAGTGCATCATAGTGTAAGTTGACAAATTCGTTCTAACACGCAGACTTTCAGGAGGTACTTAAGAGGTTTGTATGCACATGGTCTGACATTCACATTATGGGTATTTTAGTAGTTATTTCAAATGTAAAATTACCCATCTAGCCGGATCCATCTCTACATTTCTCTACACACGTAAATCGTAATATAATACACATTAGTGTTATAGAAGAGAGATCTATAAATCAATAGTCCATGAGCGCATCGCCATCAACTATTTCTTCAGCATGCATGA